GCCGATAGTTCCTCGACAGAAACGCTCTACTGTTTAAATAGAAATATCGAGCTCGTAACCTAATTGTTAAATACGTGTTAACAACTTGATTTTGATTCAGTTTTGTGTGTTATTTTATCGGAGGTTGGGGGGGGGAGAGAGAGCGTGGGGGGAGAAGATATAATCAATAAAGCTAATGCGGATGAAGCGTGTTTTTCTATGATTGATAAGAGCAGTTTGCCATCTACGACGTTATTCTAATTACGAAAATGAAAATTGATTTCTTCAGTCTTAATTTAATTTAACTTCCTTAAATTAATTAGTAGACTTTTAAAGTTATTTTAAATGAAACAGTTTTGCCATTAGTATGACTCTTTTTTTTGTAATGACTCCGCAGAACCCAATTTGGGAACAGGTCAGCCAAAGTGGTAAGAATTATAAAATGCACAGTTACGTTAATCTTTTTCGTTATTAACATTTGTCGTGCAAAGAAATAAGAAGTATGCTACGTGCTGCTGGAGCTGTATGGAAATCTCGGTCAATAAAATTTACTGCCGACTGGCGAATCTTTCTTGTCTTTTACGTTGCAGGATCTCGGCAGCAAATGAAATCCTACAAAAGAGCCTTGTTGGCATCACTTGATAACGACGTCAAACGGTCAATTGGACATCAAGCTGAGGATTTTATACTGGAGTGCAACTGGAAAGGCGAAGTTTGCGGCCCAGAGTAAGCTGCTGTTACAAAGGACCAATCGACTGACTAACCGATCCACCGACCGACCGACCGACCGACCTATAAATCAACTGGCTAGCTAGCTTGCTGGCTGATAAACTGGCTGACTAACTTTCTTAATGTTCTCTTCATTAATCCGGCATCCAAAAAGAATGGGTTTTGACGAACATTGACGAGAGTTCAATCTGTCCCAAGAGTATGAACGCTAACGCCAGCTCTCATACTCTTTTCGACTCTTGTCGTCTCGTCTCTTGAGTTTGCGTGTTGGGAAAGACACTTCACTCCCAGAGTGGCTTTCCCTTAATCTGTATAAATGGGTTCTGGTGAATTTAATGCTTGGGTCGCAAGACAAACCTGCGCTGGACTAGCCCCTTCCCGTGGGGTACTCCAAGAAATATAGGGTGGTGGTGTGCGGCCCGCTTCCCAAAACCCTAACCCCATTAAAGACCAAAATCTGTGATATTTCCTACCCTATTTAAGACCTGACCCTTAAATCAATACCCTTTTTCAGACCTGTCTTATAATTAGTTCCCCAGTTCAGACCGATTTTAAAGGCTTTGTGAAGGGCTTTTGTTGATGGTCTTATGAAGAAAAAGTAGCTTCTTCTTAAAAACATACCCAGTTCAAGGCTAGAGTGCAAAGAGCATACCCTATTTGAGAACAAAATGTCCAAAATTGGTACCCTATTTCTGACCAAAACATCTAAAAAAACCCTACTCTTTGGGGCCGAACATACTTATATAGCCGATGTAAGAGAGAACCAACCCGGAGGGACTAGGATCTCATCCAGGGGGACGCGAGAATATTCTTATCGCTGTTACTGCTCTTCAGCAGTTTCAGTCATTCCATGTTACTGCACCAAGCCCGATGGGCTCAGCAGCTCTTCTCAGTCAGCACTCGTTCAACTGTATCCTTTTTTCCTTTCTCCATTCTTTCTAGAAACTTCACGTGGTTCCCCAACTATGAATATGGAAACTGTTACGTGTTTGGGGCCGAAAATATGACTCAGAACATCAGTGCACCGGGAAATCAGAATGGTGAACTATTCAATTATGTACAACCAGTTGTCTGAAATAGCTGTTATTGGGCAAAAGTAGCTGACCAAATTTGTTCTCTTTGTTAGTTTTGACTATCGAGTTACACTAATGAACAAAAAAATTCTAACATAGAGAAAGTCTACTAAAAACAGAAAATGGCCAGCTCGCGTGAGCCAGCGACCCGAATGAAGACGCTGGGCTGTCCGCGGTCGTTCCTGTTTTCCTTATACACTTTATAAGTGAGGGAACGAATGGAAGGTCGCGTAAAACAGACAACTGAGAAGGCACAAAGTCCCAACCCCCACCCCTCCGCATTCCGGCGCGCTCGTTCAGTCTGCGTGGCTCGTATTTTACTCGCGTCCTCGACAATGTCTGTAGAAAATGGAAGCCACTTTGTGAACAGCCTGGAAAATGCGCGCGATAGCGCTAACATCTGCACCAATGAAAAGGTGTTAAGGTCAGCTGGACCGCGTGATCGCTGGAGCAGGAATCTCTAAAGCCAGTTATGCTATGCTTAGCAAGCAGTTACCATAACTCAAGCTCATAACCCCAACCTAAGTCCATAACTAAGCCAGTAAACATCAGTCTATGGGCTGCAGGTAGAATAAAGAATGTTTTGTATTGATTCAGTTTCATTGTTGTTCATTTAACGACTATAATTTTTTTACGAAGTCCATTAGTTAGAGAGCTTGGATTCCCTCAGCATTTGCTGACTGACCGTGCGGTGATATTCTAACATCTTTCAAGCACAACATTCTAGTTTTGGAAACATAAATTCAGTATAATTTCAAGTTTTACAACGGCTTCTCCTCCGTGTTACAGGTTTGTCACTGCTCTTGAACATTGAAGCTGATGAATACTTGGGAGATTTCTCAGAATCGTATGGCGCTGTTGTTGAGGTGACGAACGGAGAAGAAAAGTTTTTTCCTGAGGAGAATGGATACCTTGTGGCACCAGGGCAAGTCACTAACATTGGTTTCACCGCAGTGAGTTTAAAACCTCTTTTTCTTTTGATACATCACTTTCTCTACTGTTTTCAGGCCCACTTTTGCCATGGTTTATAACGGGAAATGGTTGTGAAGCCCGGCAAACATCAAAGCAACAAATAAAGATGCCAAGATCTATGTTGGAAGGTCTACGACCGTGCACAATCTTTTGTTTTGCGCTCATACACTATGCATGATTACGTAACCACAACGTTTCTATTGCTCAGTTTCTCAGTAAATAAGTATTGTGTTTTGTGCACCGTCAAGGCCAAAACAGCGAACAAAAACCTTTTACAAAGAAATTTGCGCGTTTCATAACCATTCTCCTCCATTAACTATGCTTTTGCGAAAAAAAGGAAAAAATCCATAGCTGTAGTAGAAGTTTACAACTTTTGTCCCACCGACCATCGAATTCTGCTCTTTAAGTCGTTCGTTGAGCTTTACGAAGGCTTTAAATTCCTTTGTAAGAGTTACGTCTTATGAAAAGTATGACAACATTTGGAATTATTGACGCAACAGGAAAGTAATATATCAAACACGAAAAAGAGTGTTTGACCAGATTTCTAAACGCACCGAGAAGAGAATTAAAAATACGAGCGGCGCAGCGGAGTATTTGTGACGAGCTTAGAAGTGTTTGAAAATGTGGTCAAACACTTTCTTGAGTGTTTGATATATCTTCTCAAACGAAACTAAAACTAAGGAGAAAACGGAGAAATAAAATCATAAAATCGTAAAAATCTATACTAATTAAGATCAGATATCCAAACACCGTTGCGGTCATGATTTCCTTCGTTTAAACTTGATGAATCATTAATGAGTTTGAGAAACTTATATCAAATATGACAAGGAAGTATTTTCGCCGTTGAAACGCATTTACTTTACAGAGAATGTTAAAAAGGCTTAACTTCCCTTTTGAGGGCACATACTGTGGATACCTTGGTGATGACAGCCAGCTTCCTTACAAGTACTCGCAGATGGTAAGTCAAGTGTACAGGGCGCAGACAAGGGTTATTTAACTTTAATTTCAGCTAAATTCACCGTGTAATGATAGCATTATATTCATACTCGCTTCGATCCATTAGTCCTTCTTAAACTATAGAATCGATTTTGCTTACGTCATAGCTTGCACATGCGCCGAACAGTAAAACCATCCCTTTAATGGGATAGGTGCCATGTACCTCGTCCGATATCCGACATTGTCTTATTCTCCAATCAGCTGCAGCGCCAAAGAAATCGAATCGTTGCTTACGTCACTTACACGTCCAAGTAATTATTTTTTCTGCTAGTTGTGATTTGTTAGTTAGACGAATTGGCATTATTCTGAACACATAAACACTTAAACAATGATTCACATTTTTCCATCAAATCACCTAATAGTAACCATTGATAATTTTGTGAATCCCGGATGAACATGATCTAATTCTAAAGCTTGAGTAACTTGTATTTCAGGCATGTCTAAAGTACTGCGTTGCTGAGAGTCAAAAGAAAGAATGTGGATGTGCTGATATTCAATACTCAATTACCCCACATTGCAATCCGTTTAATTCAACGCAAGGTGAGGCGATTTTAGAAACGTGAGAAAATAGAAAACTTGCGCCAAGATTGGGTGAAAACTAAAGCTGTTCTTCTATTTAAATTTAGACTGAGCGTAAAAAAATACCACTTCAGTGGAAATCTTTCCTTAGGGGTTGAGCATTACTTGAGCCACGCCCTAAAAAATGGACTCTGAGAACTTTTAAGTATCTTTCTAGAAATTTAGTAACGTGTGTTCATGTCACTCTTTAGGGCTCCTTAAAAACAAGCTGTGATTTGTAATGCATTTTCCCTATCTGTGTACAGGTCAATGCGTCAGGGACGTTAACGACAAGATCAGACTGTCAAATATCACATGTCCGTGCAACGAAGACTGCAAGTAACTATCAACTAGTTCATCTGTAACTAATGAAGTGCATGCTTTACTGGTTGTTGTTTATCATCGAGTGTTCCATGTTGAGGCAAACTCAGTTAGGAACCCTTTCAAATTGTGAAAAAGCTCTGAGTTCCCCTCACTCCCATTGAATCACACGCGGAGGCAGACTGACAGGTTGGTTAGGACTCACTCAATCCCTCTATCTTGTCGCTAGCTGGATTGGCCCTCAGTTGCCCCGGGGTTAGAGACAATACAAATTGATGTGTGCGTGCTGAGGACGAAAAAATTAGTGAATCTCAATACACTCAATGACAAAATGGGTCCTGCTGTGCATGAACTATCATAATAGAAAATGTCCAAACATTTAACTTAACACTAGGCCTAAGGAGCGAGAGCAAACCATATTTATTTACCGAATGAAAGCCTCGAAGTTCGAGAAAAAGAAGGGGTGCTGAAAACGCTAAAATCTCCGCAGAAACGGCTAAAAAAATTAGCAAGATCAACTTCGTTCCCCGGGGCTCTAATCCGCCCTACCCGAGGGAGAGAAAAGAGACCCTGGGAACAAGGCTGTTGCATAGTAGTAATAAAGAGACAAACTCAAATAAGCGATCACAATACAAGGAAAACATTGCTGATCTTCTGGGAAGGGATTACTCTGCCCCTAAGCCAGATTGAATGTAATTCCTGGCTTTGCTTATAATTGTCATGCATTACAGTAAGGACAATCGAAACGTAAACACTTGGCATTTTTTGTTCATTGTTTTTTTGTGTGTGTGTGACTAAAGAATAAAAGCTCAAGATTAGCGTTTTTAAGGTACACAAATGCTAAATGCTCCTGTTAACATGAAGAGCCCTCGTTCGATAATCAGCAAACTACGTAAGAAAAATGTCAAGTGTTCACGGTTGCAAATCATCGAATAAGGTGTGCAGATTGGCTTGCCCACAAACTGCATGCAAGCTTTGAACAAAAAGTAGACTTACCACAAGTCGACCCTAGCTTAATCCTTCGCTTATCCATCTCTCTCGAGCGAAGCAAACCAACAGGCCAGGGAAGTACTATTGGAAAGGACTTTTAGAAAGTCTAAACAGAAAGTTATTGACCTATAAACAATGTTGCTCGCTTTACCTTTACTTTTCGCGCTGCCGAATTTCCTAACTGCTTTCCTAAACGAGCCGTCTAGACGGAATTTTTCCTCTTAATACAAGTTGCATACAAAAGACTGTTCTAATCAGGTTTAGTGTTTGTTGATGAGTAGGGCGAGTCGAGACAAACACTAAATTGACTAACGACAACGATGTTTTACAAATATTGTTGATTAGAAAGTTGTTTTCTTTCTGTTTGTTTTGTTTATTGTTGCTGTTCGTGATTTCTTAGGCTGTTTGAGTTTCAAGTTTCCACATCGTCTGCTACGTGGCCAACAGACGGGCTTCTGGTGAGTTGTTCTTCCAACAAAAACGAGCTCGAATTTGTTGCCTAATGTTATTCATCTGTACTTTTCTTCACCAAGAGGCAAGACATGTGAATTTCTTTCCTTTTCGCGCAACAACAGGCCCGTCTACGAAGCATGCTGGGAAAGAAAGCTTCAAACGTGACAAGTAATCTCTCCGAAGCCAGGTTAGATCACTTTTCGCTCGTATTCCGCTTTCATAAGTAACAACTTTCTTCCGGGTACGAGCTCTTTTAGAAGCACAGTTCTTTACTTAGACTCTACCCCTACTACCCATGTAAGCCGAATTTATTGGTATTTCCATTGCAATTCCTCTTCCTTTTCCGCATTCCTGGAGCCTTCAGGGAAAAGCTTTTACTTCTTGTCTCAAACTGGTTCGTAGTCCGTAAGTTCAGTTTATTTTACAGACGAAATTTGGCGCGAGTTAATATCTACTACAAAAGCATGACAGTGGAGGTCATTGCGCAGCACCCAAGGTATCAGGTAAGCCAATATCCGGGGCTTCGCTGTGATGTTTGGCGAAATAACTTTTATATACATGCAGTCGAACCTCTCCACAATGGAGACGGAGAAAAGTGGCCGGTGTAGAGAGGTCCCCGTTATGCGAAGGTAAGGGTCAAATATGACACCTGTTTTTGCTTTCCGGGGGTGCAACATTTGTTTTTCAAAAATATCGGAAACAAAAAGTACCACATTGAAAAAACACTGTTCAGTAGTTAGCCTCTGCCAGGCAGTTTAGCTAGTTACGACAGCGTTCAATTTCAAATGGAAATACGAAATATTATTCGTCGACGTCGCAGAACCTGGTCATTTCACGTTGTTGTTTTGCAGAGGACGGCAAAGAAATGTACTAAGATTTATAACGCGCGTGCACAGCTGTTGTTTTGCTCATTAAACCTTATGTTTGGTGACGTTCCCGTTGTCGTCGTCGTCGTGGCTTGCTTAAGCTGGTCACTCGATTAGATTTTATCCAAAGACCTTATAACCCATTTACTTCCAGCGCACGACCTATATGAATTTGGCAAAATAAGCATTAGAGAACTGGGGAGGGAAAACTTGACTGCAGACGTCACTTGATTAATTTGATTGAAAGTATTATACTTCGCTTCTTCGTTTACTTATCTATGAACTTTTCTTTTTCGCTATTAGTTCAAAGACCTTATTAGCAGCGTTGGAGGTTCACTGGGTCTTTTCACTGGGATGTCGCTGTTAACTTTAGTGGAGTTTGTCAAGTTGATTTTTGACTTGACGAGGTTCTCCTGCAAGAAGAAAACGTCTGTTGCATCTCCAATGCACCACACAAATGAAAAAGAGTTGGAGAATCCATGCTCTTAATTAATCCAAACATTTTATATGTACACACAAAAATCTGCGCAGATGTTTGTTATCCAATGCATGGCAACAAGAAGCATAACCAGCTTGATCATTTATTTGTGGCTTGTTAAAATTACGAAAAAGATGTCAAATATTGGTTACTTTCTTAATTAGCTTATAACTAACATTTTGTAAACTCGTTTGTATACCTAACCAGGGGGCTTCCACTTTATTACACTGAATTTCACTCACTTCACTTACGCCGGTAACTTAACTTTGTGTAAGTTTTAATCACTTTTTCCCTCCTCCATCGAGACATAAACTCGTCAAGACACAATCTCAACTGTTACTGTCCAAAACCTCTCGAGAATACCCCTTTATCTGACGATTTATCAAATACGAACAAGTAGAACTGACAAAAATGTAAATAAAGGTCACTGAGCTTAAACGCGACATCTCTCACGGGTTTCCTTTCCGGACAACGCTGAAGTATCTCTGTCGCTCGGAATCCAGTCCTAAAATCATTTGGCTTGACCCTTGGTTTTTGTCAGAGGTCGTTACTAGGCACCATATGAAGTGATCATGGCAAAAGCAAAGGCCGTGGAAGGCTCCTACCAAGATGATTACTTCTTTGATTACTTCATATTGATGACTCGGGACTAACCTGAGGGGTTACGCGCGATGCTTTGCTTGTTATCGCAGTGGCTGCAGAGGTGGAAAGTGAATACTTGGCAATTTCTGTGCTAATTGCCTCGCGCGTGTTTTGTTCAGGACTGAAAAAAATGACATAAACCTTCGGTCCGAACATGCAACCTAGAAGAGCGAAGGAGCTCACGAGAGTGGTTACACCGCCAATAATGCCTACGTACCAGCCCTCAAGGCCAAATTCCACGGGATAATACGCCGCCGAGGATAGCAGAACAATGTACATGGAAAAGCCGATGTATCTCGCTTCGTTGAAATTCTCGGGAATTTTCCTTCCCTTAAAAGCGTAATAGATGCACGCAAGCGCAAGGAGAAGGACAGTGGTTATAGTCATGGCTAAGAGGACTTCGCCAGCTATTGATCTGAAAGGTTTGCAAACAATGAACACGTACTGAAGTGGGCGAACGATCGTTTCTTTAGATGGTGGATCGGAAATAGTCCATGCCACGATCAGTATGATCTGTACAGATAACAAGCCAAGTAAATGAAGTCTTTGTCCTTTGAAAAGGAAGCTCTTCTTTCTTTTCTTTGGCCCGGATGTCAGACCGTTGGGTAACCGACCCTCGAGTCGAAAAGCCTTCACTATTTTCCTTGACTTCAGTAGTAGTATGGACACGCATAGAGTATGAACGATGTATCGCCAGATATTTATAACGCTGCACAAAAGGTCTGTGGGAGTCAATAGATATAGAAAGGCCAACACGAATAATAAAGCCACCACTATCAATAAAAGAAAGCTGAGCTCCTGGTTTGAGGCCTTTACAATTGGCGAGTTTCGATACTTAACAAAAACTACAATGCATAGGATAGTCAAAAGCAGGCCTGTAACCGCCGTGCAGGTCACTGCTATGGCAGAAGTATTCCAGCTCAAGTTATTTTGAGGAAGGTCGACGCATTTTGTCCTCTCATCATTGGGTTTTTGTCTCTCTGGACATTCAGAACAGTTTGAAGAAATGCCATTGGAGTTTATTGTACCACGGGGGCAATTGACGCATTCCCAACAGCAAGGAGACTTTGCCACTCTTCGCTCACCTGGCTTGCAATCAAATGAGCATACTGACAACGGAACACCTTTGAATCCACTCGGACTGTTCCAAGTTATGTTTGAAAGATTAAGGTGAAGTCTAGGGCTGGTTTTCCTCGCCCACCAGCCAACGCGAACTTCCAAAAAGTCCTTGCCAGTACTTTTGAAGTTCACGATGTCGTAGCTCGCGTCAAGCGGATCCCCATTTTTGTCGAATTCTATTGTTCCTGTCAGTCCTTGAAAGCTTACATTCCGCAAGTAGAAGTGTAATTCGTCTCCTTTTATCTTCGACTGCTGTACTGTTGGGCATTTACCGCCCTTAAGCAAGCTGTGTGGTTCTTTGCATGTGTACATGTTGTGCAAAGCATGGGCAAATGCGTACACGGCGTCAATAGTGTACGAAATGTAAGGACTGCTTGTCAAGGGACTACCAATTGGAACTGAAAATGGATATGACGTATCCAGCAATTTGTTGTTCTTTGCCATGTAAATCCAGTACTCCTTCCACCATGCGTGGGTGCTGCCCGTAAAATTCCTCTTTGCCAGATTGGCCAAGTATTTTTGGAATTGCTCACTGGGCCGAGCCTTAGGCAAAATCCCAAATGATCCATTCAAAATTCCCGCAAAGCTGACATTGGTGAAGAATGGATCTCCTGGTGTGGTTCCATCGGTAAAGATCCATGTTCGGCCAGTAAGATCTTGATTAACGACCTCGTCCATAAAATACCGTGCATACTCACCGTAAAGCCAGATAAAAACAACTGTAACTTTCTCACTGCGCTTGAGATCGAATACAATTTTTCGAATACTGTCCAAATGATTGACGCGAGGAACAAACCTTTTGAAGGCAATACAAAGGTTCTCTCTTGTGTCAGCTTCTTTTTCTATTCCCCAGATTCCGTAACGTCCAAACGAGTCGTCCAGGGCTACTGCACCGACGTATGTCCAGTTGAAGAACTGCGCCGTGTCAGCTAAAAGACTAGCACGCCAATTGTCTGGAGCAACCGTTCGATAAAAGTGGCTGTATAGAGTAGTACTCAACTCCACACTTGTTGCCAGCGGGCTAATGGATGGGATGTGTGCTATCTCGAACAAACTTGAAACCATTATGGCACTTGCGGAATCCATTGGCCCAACAACCCCTGTTATTTCTTTAAGTCCGCCGTACTTAGACCCGTTGAATTCCGTAGAGTTCGTGCAATTCTGGAGCGAGAAACGATGATCGCTTTTCACGACCAGTTCGTAAGCGGTTTCCACAGCCATAGCAGGACGCAGACAATAATCTCGTAAATCAAACCCGAGGGTGACATTCGGCAAAAGCGTATTGTTCTCGTTGATGCTTTCTATGGCAAAAACCATTGCCTCTGCGTAACCCAGATTAGTACCGAGTATATCGCCGCAATAGTTGTTGTTGTCTGCGCTCTGATGGAGATCAAATAGGCCTCCCAACACTATATGGCCATCTTTATAAGCAGATCTTTGCTGGGGTAAGCAGTTGACACGAAGACTTCCATTACACAACAATAAAACGGCGAGAAAGGAAAACTTTAGACAGGAAGACATCGCCATTCAGTCTTGAAAATTGATGATACTGTCAGTTTCCAGCGCTGTGACGGAAGAGAGGTGATAAAAAGAAATTAGACAAGTGTCTTCACTGGAAGCAAGTATTCTTATAATGCGTTACGTGCCTATGGAGGAGCGCCTAGGTTATGAGTTACAAACTTGTCCTCTAGGTAAGACTACTTTTAATACACAGGGAGACTGGAATGGTACAGTGGTCCAACTTAGAAATGACGGTAAAACATTATACAACACGATTTTATCTTACGACAGGTGGTTGTCCTTAAGTAAACACAGGGGCAAGGGGACGTGACTAAATGGCGCAAAGTGAATGGCTTTTCAGTGTTTTGGCTTTTTGAACAAATACAAATCAACTTGATTGAAAAGTCCGTTTTGTCTCAAAATAAACAGGGAAACGCGTGGACCAAAGAAACGGATCCCGACTTGAACTCTTCAAAAAAATAGAACGTGCAGAATTGCAGCAAAAAAAGCTATTTCGTTAAGAGCGAACAAATTGTCTTTGATCGTGCGTATGGTTGTTGCGTTATGTCAGTCCTATTTTCTGTCCGTTTTTGTCACCCCTGATCATCTCTTAATAGGAATCGAATTAAAATCAATGGAAAACAAAATCATACGGACATCCTTCTCGTAAATATACAGCAAAGCTTTTTGCGGCGGTTGGTACATGCACTCCATGCTAAATGGTAGGATAGAGGCTACCCAAGCAAGCTACAGGAGTTTGCTTGGGTAAATTTTAGCAGCCTGAAAACAGTTCAATTTGTGTCAAACTAAAACCAAACTTAAAAGCAAGCTAAATTAATAAAAAAACAAAGGTTGCTAGGTCAAATATTGAACTCAAAATAAATTGCTTGGGGGCAACAACAAATAACAAAGACGTTTCGTTGTCCATGCATTAAATTTCAGTTTACACAATAACGGGGACAAAAATATAGGACTGGAATATTTTTTTTTTGGTACTAAAAAGCGAAGAGGATTCAACTTTGTACAATGCAAATTGACCCCATTGTTTGCCGAAACCTTGGATCAACCAGCCGGTGATTTTAATACTGATTATAGAACAGTTCATTTCCGGTTGATCCAGAATTTGAGGCCGATTTCTAGTTTTGGCTGGATATGGTCGGTCGTTTTCAAGACGCGATCGATTCACCCTCTTCTTCGCATCTTAGAATAAAATGAGTTTTTGAGCGTTGGAGAAATGGTCGAAGAAAATGTAAATTAGCAGTCCCGTTGTACAGATTTAATAAAGGAGTACAGTTTTGTTTTATTAAAACGCCATTCCATTTGGACCACTGATTGCGAGGTGTCAGGAAAGCCGCTTTAATCACCTGAGAAGGTGCTCTGATCTTTTTTCGTGCCTTGGGGGACCTTCTCCCACGCCTCCTTCGATCGACCTGGAATTCTTGTTCAAACTGACTTAACTCTCTTTTTTTATGAATAAGAATATTGTTTTCCCGGCCAAGGCTAAATCTTCATATTTTTCTACCGATTTTAGGCTAAAAATGTTCTTGTGGATATTCTTAGATTATAGTTTATGACATTTTTGTTTTCGAATGTATTTGGTGTATGAATGGTGTTAACGTAAGTTTGGAGCCAGCCTGCAGGCATCAAAGCCTAATTTGACGCACATAACTTCTTGCAGAAATGTTATTAGTATCGAACATACGGCTAGTGCTGGTTTTGTTGCTTTTTGGCTAGTTTTGCCGTTATACGGTTTAGTTAAAAACATATCATTAACTGTATTGTATTTACAAATTTTCAACACAAAATTATATTCCTTTCCAAATCTGAGCCTCGGGTTTATTTTTAAAATGTTGTTAAAATTTCGCAGTTTTTAGTCTCGATATTGTAATACATTATNCTGTTGCATCTCCAATGCACCACACAAATGAAAAAGAGTTGGAGAATCCATGCTCTTAATTAATCCAAACATTTTATATGTACACACAAAAATCTGCGCAGATGTTTGTTATCCAATGCATGGCAACAAGAAGCATAACCAGCTTGATCATTTATTTGTGGCTTGTTAAAATTACGAAAAAGATGTCAAATATTGGTTACTTTCTTAATTAGCTTATAACTAACATTTTGTAAACTCGTTTGTATACCTAACCAGGGGGCTTCCACTTTATTACACTGAATTTCACTCACTTCACTTACGCCGGTAACTTAACTTTGTGTAAGTTTTAATCACTTTTTCCCTCCTCCATCGAGACATAAACTCGTCAAGACACAATCTCAACTGTTACTGTCCAAAACCTCTCGAGAATACCCCTTTATCTGACGATTTATCAAATACGAACAAGTAGAACTGACAAAAATGTAAATAAAGGTCACTGAGCTTAAACGCGACATCTCTCACGGGTTTCCTTTCCGGACAACGCTGAAGTATCTCTGTCGCTCGGAATCCAGTCCTAAAATCATTTGGCTTGACCCTTGGTTTTTGTCAGAGGTCGTTACTAGGCACCATATGAAGTGATCATGGCAAAAGCAAAGGCCGTGGAAGGCTCCTACCAAGATGATTACTTCTTTGATTACTTCATATTGATGACTCGGGACTAACCTGAGGGGTTACGCGCGATGCTTTGCTTGTTATCGCAGTGGCTGCAGAGGTGGAAAGTGAATACTTGGCAATTTCTGTGCTAATTGCCTCGCGCGTGTTTTGTTCAGGACTGAAAAAAATGACATAAACCTTCGGTCCGAACATGCAACCTAGAAGAGCGAAGGAGCTCACGAGAGTGGTTACACCGCCAATAATGCCTACGTACCAGCCCTCAAGGCCAAATTCCACGGGATAATACGCCGCCGAGGATAGCAGAACAATGTACATGGAAAAGCCGATGTATCTCGCTTCGTTGAAATTCTCGGGAATTTTCCTTCCCTTAAAAGCGTAATAGATGCACGCAAGCGCAAGGAGAAGGACAGTGGTTATAGTCATGGCTAAGAGGACTTCGCCAGCTATTGATCTGAAAGGTTTGCAAACAATGAACACGTACTGAAGTGGGCGAACGATCGTTTCTTTAGATGGTGGATCGGAAATAGTCCATGCCACGATCAGTATGATCTGTACAGATAACAAGCCAAGTAAATGAAGTCTTTGTCCTTTGAAAAGGAAGCTCTTCTTTCTTTTCTTTGGCCCGGATGTCAGACCGTTGGGTAACCGACCCTCGAGTCGAAAAGCCTTCACTATTTTCCTTGACTTCAGTAGTAGTATGGACACGCATAGAGTATGAACGATGTATCGCCAGATATTTATAACGCTGCACAAAAGGTCTGTGGGAGTCAATAGATATAGAAAGGCCAACACGAATAATAAAGCCACCACTATCAATAAAAGAAAGCTGAGCTCCTGGTTTGAGGCCTTTACAATTGGCGAGTTTCGATACTTAACAAAAACTACAATGCATAGGATAGTCAAAAGCAGGCCTGTAACCGCCGTGCAGGTCACTGCTATGGCAGAAGTATTCCAGCTCAAGTTATTTTGAGGAAGGTCGACGCATTTTGTCCTCTCATCATTGGGTTTTTGTCTCTCTGGACATTCAGAACAGTTTGAAGAAATGCCATTGGAGTTTATTGTACCACGGGGGCAATTGACGCATTCCCAACAGCAAGGAGACTTTGCCACTCTTCGCTCACCTGGCTTGCAATCAAATGAGCATACTGACAACGGAACACCTTTGAATCCACTCGGACTGTTCCAAGTTATGTTTGAAAGATTAAGGTGAAGTCTAGGGCTGGTTTTCCTCGCCCACCAGCCAACGCGAACTTCCAAAAAGTCCTTGCCAGTACTTTTGAAGTTCACGATGTCGTAGCTCGCGTCAAGCGGATCCCCATTTTTGTCGAATTCTATTGTTCCTGTCAGTCCTTGAAAGCTTACATTCCGCAAGTAGAAGTGTAATTCGTCTCCTTTTATCTTCGACTGCTGTACTGTTGGGCATTTACCGCCCTTAAGCAAGCTGTGTGGTTCTTTGCATGTGTACATGTTGTGCAAAGCATGGGCAAATGCGTACACGGCGTCAATAGTGTACGAAATGTAAGGACTGCTTGTCAAGGGACTACCAATTGGAACTGAAAATGGATATGACGTATCCAGCAATTTGTTGTTCTTTGCCATGTAAATCCAGTACTCCTTCCACCATGCGTGGGTGCTGCCCGTAAAATTCCTCTTTGCCAGATTGGCCAAGTATTTTTGGAATTGCTCACTGGGCCGAGCCTTAGGCAAAATCCCAAATGATCCATTCAAAATTCCCGCAAAGCTGACATTGGTGAAGAATGGATCTCCTGGTGTGGTTCCATCGGTAAAGATCCATGTTCGGCCAGTAAGATCTTGATTAACGACCTCGTCCATAAAATACCGTGCATACTCACCGTAAAGCCAGATAAAAACAACTGTAACTTTCTCACTGCGCTTGAGATCGAATACAATTTTTCGAATACTGTCCAAATGATTGACGCGAGGAACAAACCTTTTGAAGGCAATACAAAGGTTCTCTCTTGTGTCAGCTTCTTTTTCTATTCCCCAGATTCCGTAACGTCCAAACGAGTCGTCCAGGGCTACTGCACCGACGTATGTCCAGTTGAAGAACTGCGCCGTGTCAGCTAAAAGACTAGCACGCCAATTGTCTGGAGCAACCGTTCGATAAAAGTGGCTGTATAGAGTAGTACTCAACTCCACACTTGTTGCCAGCGGGCTAATGGATGGGATGTGTGCTATCTCGAACAAACTTGAAACCATTATGGCACTTGCGGAATCCATTGGCCCAACAACCCCTGTTATTTCTTTAAGTCCGCCGTACTTAGACCCGTTGAATTCCGTAGAGTTCGTGCAATTCTGGAGCGAGAAACGATGATCGCTTTTCACGACCAGTTCGTAAGCGGTTTCCACAGCCATAGCAGGACGCAGACAATAATCTCGTAAATCAAACCCGAGGGTGACATTCGGCAAAAGCGTATTGTTCTCGTTGATGCTTTCTATGGCAAAAACCATTGCCTCTGCGTAACCCAGATTAGTACCGAGTATATCGCCGCAATAGTTGTTGTTGTCTGCGCTCTGATGGAGATCAAATAGGCCTCCCAACACTATATGGCCATCTTTATAAGCAGATCTTTGCTGGGGTAAGCAGTTGACACGAAGACTTCCATTACACAACAATAAAACGGCGAGAAAGGAAAACTTTAGACAGGAAGACATCGCCATTCAGTCTTGAAAATTGATGATACTGTCAGTTTCCAGCGCTGTGACGGAAGAGAGGTGATAAAAAGAAATTAGACAAGTGTCTTCACTGGAAGTAAGTATTCTTATAATGCGTTACGTGCCTATGGAGGAGCGCCTGGGTTATGAGTTACAAACCTGTCCTCTAGGTAAGACTACTTTTAATACACAGGGAGACTGGAATGGTACAGTGGTCCAACTTAGAAATGACGGTAAAACATTATACAACACGATTTTATCTTACGACAGGTGGTTGTCCTTAAGTAAACACAGGGGCAAGGGGACGTGACTAAATGGCGCAAAGTGAATGGCTTTTCAGTGTTTTGGCTTTTTGAACAAATACAAATCAACTTGATTGAAAAGTCCGTTTTGTCTCAAAATAAACAGGGAAACGCGTGGACCAAAGAAACGGATCCCGACTTGAACTCTTCAAAAAAATAGAACGTGCAGAATTGCAGCAAAAAAAGCTATTTCGTTAAGAGCGAACAAATTGTCTTTGATCGTGCGTATGGTTGTTGCGTTATGTCAGTCCTATTTTCTGTCCGTTTTTGTCACCCCTGATCATCTCTTAATAGGAATCGAATTAAAATCAATGGAAAACAAAATCATACGGGCATCCTTCTCGTAAATATACAGCAAAGCTTTTTGCGGCGGTTGGTACATGCACTCCATGCTAAATGGTAGGATAGAGGCTACCCAAGCAAGCTACAGGAGTTTGCTTGGGTAAATTTTAGCAGCCTGAAAACAGTTCAATTTGTGTCAAACTAAAACCAAACTTAAAAGCAAGCTAAATTAATAAAAAAACAAAGGTTGCTAGGTCAAATATTGAACTCAAAATAAATTGCTTGGGGGCAACAACAAATAACAAAGACGTTTCGTTGTCCATGCATTAAATTTCAGTTTACACAATAACGGGGACAAAAATATAGGACTGGAATATTTTTTTTTTGGTACTAAAAAGCGAAGAGGATTCAACTTTGTACAATGCAAATTGACCCCATTGTTTGCCGAAACCTTGGATCAACCAGCCGGTGATTTTAATACTGATTATAGAACAGTTCATTTCCGGTTGATCCAGAATTTGAGGCCGATTTCTAGTTTTGGCTGGATATGGTCGGTCGTTTTCAAGACGCGATCGATTCACCCTCTTCTTCGCATCTTAGAATAAAATGAGTTTTTGAGCGTTGGAGAAATGGTCGAAGAAAATGTAAATTAGCAGTCCCGTTGTACAGATTTAATAAAGGAGTACAGTTTTGTTTTATTAAAACGCCATTCCATTTGGACCACTGATTGCGAGGTGTCAGGAAAGCCGCTTTAATCACCTGAGAAGGTGCTCTGATCTTTTTTCGTGCCTTGGGGGACCTTCTCCCACGCCTCCTTCGATCGACCTGGAATTCTTGTTCAAACTGACTTAACTCTCTTTTTTTATGAATAAGAATATTGTTTTCCCGGCCAAGGCTAAATCTTCATATTTTTCTACCGATTTTAGGCTAAAAATGTTCTTGTGGATATTCTTAGATTATAGTTTATGACATTTTTGTTTTCGAATGTATTTGGTGTATGAATGGTGTTAACGTAAGTTTGGAGCCAGCCTGCAGGCATTAAAGCCTAATTTGACGCACATAACTTCTTGCAGAAATGTTATTAGTATCGAACATACGGCTAGTGCTGGTTTTGTTGCTTTTTGGCTAGTTTTGCCGTTATACGGTTTAGTTAAAAACATATCATTAACTGTATTGTATTTACAAATTTTCAACACAAAATTATATTCCTTTCCAAATCTGAGCCTCGGGTTTATTTTTAAAATGTTGTTAAAATTTCGCAGTTTTTAGTCTCGATATTGTAATACATTATATTCTTATAAAAAAGAAAGAATGCATGGCTGTTTAACCAGCTATTCTGGGTCGAGGTGCACTCATTGTCCAACCGGAGCACTCCGTGGCGTCATGGCCAGTGCGTGCTCATGTTTGCAATGCTGGTGATGCCGGCTGTTTCGTTAATTCACTGACTTTTTTTTCTCTTCTGTACATAAGTAATGCTTTAAACGCTTTATACCTCAATAAAATGCTCACAAAGCAGCAATAACCATGCTAGCAGGACTAAATGTTAAAGCAAATCTGAAAACTTACAACAATAAAATCTACTAATTTGTATTTAAAACAACTCTAAGCTGTCTACATTATTTTCACGAAACCTATATACCGTCTTTCCTAGATAGCGTTGACTGCTACAACTCAGTAACGACGCCCTAAGCATTTGTAAGTGCGCTTCGATATCAAAAGTCGTGACAATATAAAAGGGAAGGCGGAAATTTTTACCTTGGTGGCACCTTCCAGTCAACGGGCAAATTTTTTGGCCATCATTTCATCTACTACAAAATATTTTTTAGTGACGTCTTAGACCATTATTTACCGTTTTGAATTTCGATTCAAGCTTAGTCACTTTTAACATCCGGTCAGTGGAAATGGGCGAGCCATCGTCGTTGCTCTAACAGCTTCTGTGCAATTTGCTACATGGTGATAAGAGCTTTTCCTCGGTCAGCGAATGACAAAGTAGATATTCTCACCGAAAAAAAAAATCTGTTTTAAATGGGTAGTCGCTAGAAACAGCTTAATTAGGAAAACTTAGAAACGCATTGATGAATCAGGAAGAACCTCCACGCCCCTGTGGACACTTCTAATTTGATATTTGAAATGCAAACGTATGTAAAACAAAGATTCCTAATGAATTTCCATTTTGCCGTGAACTGAATGAATGTGCCTTGTGGCGGATTGGTGCGGCGTATCCAAAAAAATATAGAGACTTGTCTGTTAAGAGGCTCGGACGAAAAAGAAAAAACCACCAAAGTACTAGCGATTGACACCGACCATTTGGCTTTTAAACTGATTAAATTCGCTTTTTTGCCTGAGGTGATCTGCTCCGTGAAGAGTTGTGATATAAAACCTGAATTAAATTCTATTCACTTGAATAGGTCAGTGAATATATCCGGAACTGATAGCCTACGTGTTTAGCCGTACCTACGGGGGGTGAGTACGGCTACACTAAGGCTAACAATAATGCCGATTATTTACACGACCAACTACTGGGATGAATTTGCCATCAAGAGTTCTTAGTGACTCCTGCAATCATTATGGAAATCCTATGCCTAAAAGCCGAGTCAGTCGATAAAACGTTTCGATCATTGTAACATGTTTTAACACTCAGCGAAAGATCTCCTCAATGCTAACTGCTTGACTGGCCATGTTAAAGTAAATAAGCACTAATTTGAAACCTTTTAATGAGTTTTAAAAAACGTCGCGACACAAGGACACCTGTCCTTGTTGACAAAAGCATTCAAATTTCTCGTTCAAATCTTTGACATCTATTGATGCATCAGCGAAAAGGCTGTGTCATCATTTTAACTGTTGGATCCATGAGACTTCTTTTGTTACATAACAGCGGCGAATGTTAAGATGTTCCTTGCAGCATGTTCAGATCAAAGGCAGAAAATAGAAAGTGGACGTGATGTCAATTAGCATATAAACAACAAAGCTGTGGTGCTTTGCTGAGATGAAAACGAAAATTTCCTCTCGTGTTTTTAGAGGAAGTAGGATCTTGTTCTTTAATTTAGACTTTTGTTCAGTTCTGCACTTTTATTTTTTAGCACTTCAGTAATACACATAGAGCTACGTACGATCTGTCACTGGGGGTTAGTGATAAAAGCTTTTTATAATGCCTTTCATGCAAAACTTCGACTCAGTAACTCAAACGATGACAGCCACAGGACCACAAGAACTATTGTATTGTAGCCCCTCTCTCCTCCTCAAGTCAAGTCAATTCATTGCCAAGTCAATTCACTATGCCAGCTGTCTTGGTCTGCAATACCTTACTGCCTGCAGACCATTCAATTCGAGTAGCTCAAGCTAAACTAATTCGAACCCCAATTTAATGACTTCGCCACCATATTGTCCACCGGCTAGTCTGCTCTCAATTGATCACATGAATTCGCTGATGTACTGAAGATTCTTTAAGATTTATAGGGTATATTTTCAGTTTCATTGCGCGCGCACCTGTCTCAAAATGAAGGAGGCAATATTAAAGTTACCAAAACTGTTGCATATTCTTCACAGAGATATCTTTAGGATTTACAAATCTAGCTTCAAATAAGCTTTCTCGAAAAAGAAATGTTTTTTTTCTGCTACGCATTGTATGTTCTGAATCAAACTGAAGAAACCGGATATTAAACTGGCGGCAAGGTCGGGGAACCTGTAACACGAGCCGTGGACAGAAAAGCTGGACGCGAGTCGTTTAAATATAATTCATTATCACATGTAATCCTTTATTTCTGTCGAAGATAGAGGGTGTTTTAAGAAATAGAAATAACAACTTGTGTATAACGAGAATTGACGCTGTCGATTCGAATTGTGGCATTGTGTATCAGTGATAATCTATGACATTTGCAAGTAGCTTATCATTGGCAGTATTGTAGGAATTGCATGTGAGACGAGCATAAAGATTTACAGTACCTCGCAGGGTTTGCTTTAGTAGTGTTCGGTTTAGAGTCTCGTATATTAGCTAGTTTCTTGAGCGTCCTCGATTTCCGCATTTTACTTTAATATTTATTTTCAAGAAAAATATTCATTTAAGCTCTGTAACGTTCATCTCTAAAAACGCGTCGTGTGTCTAATGTACAAGTTGTTTAGTCTTTGGAAATTATTTGCCGTTCAAATTATTTGGAATTCATCTCGGAATCGCAAAACATTCCTTTAAATCTTAAGCCGTTTTCGTACATACCTTGTATTTTTTGTTGAACTTCTCTCATCCGGTCACCATTCACAAGAATAGTAAACAGTTATCGGCGTTAACGTCTGAAGCTTTGAAGCTGTCACTGATGTGGCTGCTTATGTCACTATATTGCGCCAATTAAGCTAATATCATGAATTGTTCGCATGTGATTGGTTAATGAGAGTGACTGGCTCATCCCGCTTATGAAAAAGTTATGAAACCTGCTGACTTGCGGAACATTTGCGATATTATTTCACTTTTAAGGCATTGTACATTTCAAAAAATGTTGTTTATACCCCTCTTCGTCACCTTAAGTGGGCTTTATCCTTCTGTAAATTCGGTGGAAAAGCCGACTACCGGTCCATGTTTAAGTATCACTGGTCTAAGAGAACGGAAGATAAAAATTATCTAGTGTAGGTGTTTTTTGGTATCAAAAGAAGATCATCCTCTCTTGTTGATATTTATGGTATGGTCTCGAGGTTGTACGAAGTTAAAATAACATAGATCGCGTTTGAAGGTTAAAAGCCCTTTCATACGCGAGAGGGTGCCGTTAAATGACAGTTCTTCCATAACTCACACCTGACTGTCACCATTCACGTCACAATATTGACGATTGCATATTTTATCTGACATCGAATAACCAGTTGAGTCATTCTTGACGATATGAAGGTAGGTAGTTTTCTTCGCCTCTGGCTCGCGCCTTCGTTTTACTCAGTGCTTTTATTCTCGAACAGAACGAACTGACAGAGCAAGGAAAGTGTTAAAACTGCATTTTCCGGTGTGGTGATAAAGGATAAATATCTCCGTGTGCGCAGTACCTGCCATAAATAATGCAAAAAGAAAAAAACTATTTTTCCCGGCTGAACATGGTTTACAACACAGCCCTGACAGCAAAGACAACACAAGGCTTCTTTTGTGGTAGGATAATTAAAGCCTACCTGTTTCACCTGTCAAAATTGTAACCATCACTACGTCAAAGGTTATAAAAAATGGACATCTTAATTGGTTCTCTTTGGTAACGCAAAAACAACTTTATTACAAATAGGTTTTAATCACATTTTTTTCTTTTTCAGCTGTGAGTCAAGGTTACCCCTGAGAGGCTTTAGTTTAAAAGAGCTGTGTCACCGTTTGTGCATCTTGAAAAGTTTAGCTTTAATTTTTCAAGTTCGTCGTTTGTAATCCGTGTTAATCTTCTCCATCCTTAACCATCCTTATTCTTCTATGGTTCATTATTATCTCTGTGTTGTTTTTCTATTTTAGTAAACTACTATTTTCAGGTTTTCTTCAATTTAAAGGTAATTTTGTGCGTGGCCAAACTGACACAAAATACCGTAACTGGGCTCCTGTAAATAGGGTTACAAAAATTGATGTCTAGGAATACTGCTAAACATAAACATTTCACATGGGCTGGTTTGGTTAGGATTCACGTACGACTTAGCATTACAGCAATTGTTTATTGAAATTTTCCTTCAAGGGAAACTTTACATAACAAGGACCTGAACCAATATAGACATTTCATGACGCTTTATATAAAGTAACAATAACCGAAACCGGGTTAGCTTAAGACTCGTCTCCGGTTTTCTTGCGGTTAGTTCCACTCGCGTTTGCTTGTGGGTATAGCTTTCATTTTGTGGTTTGGGTGACACTGTGTTATAGGCTATGTTCACACTTGATGCCCGAGCACTGTGCTGGAGTACGATTCTCGCTGGGCAATAATGTGAACACATCTTTTTCCAAGCACTCACACCAGAATTTAAGCACAGTGCCCGTGCTTGGATGCAAGGTGTCCAGCTTGTACTCGGGCACTAGATGTTACTTGGGTACTTGAGCTTACTTGGAGAACCAGTGTCTGAACGCAACACCATTTTGTGCCGGTGCTCGGGCACCAGGTGTGAACGAAGGCTATATTTTTGCTCGTTCCATTCAAAAGATTTGAAGTGAAACATTCTGGACCCCAGAGCCTGCTTATTTTGTTTAGCACCAAGAATGCGGATTTTAGCTGACCAAGCTCGCGATCCATTAACCCACTCGCTGAACTCCGCCCTCATCTCCTGTTATACAGGGATTCAACCCAGGCGGGACCTGAGAAAGAGTCCAGGATAACTTGCATGAGCATGCTCAGACCGAACGCGGGACCTCGTGTGTCTTAAACACAGCTGTCTAGCTGTTTAACACTGATTTTCTTCTAGATGGTCGCATGACGTTAACGCAAGACTATACTTTTGTGAATGACTTGAAGTCATTTACAAAATTATGGACGAGTTTGGTTAAGTTTTTCTGTTTGTCTACAGATGCGTTTTAGGCTAAAGAAATTTTGTCCTAATGATGCTCTAAACGAGCAAAGCAAATATGCTGTTTCTTTAGCCAATAAAAAACAAAATCAGATTTGATTTGATTCACGGACTGATGTCGATGCTTGGAAAATCACTCAAAGGGTCGCAACGTTGCCCAGCGCGGGAGAACAAACATTTGGTACTTGGCTTTAACAGTCCTGATTGGCTGAACATAGTCACCAGTTGATTGGCTAGATGACACTGAGAGGTTTGACAGAGCTCAGAAATAATAAAAAAAGGCATGCAGTTCCGTTTGCTTGAAGCAAATAAAATTGTCTTCAGTGGACAAAAGAAACAGCGCTTTAACGAAAGAATAACTGAAAAATACAGAAGTATAAACATTTCATCTAGTACCGTTTTGCATCGGAAGATTACTTAAGACGTTTCAGTCCTGAGTGAAGCAGTAAACAGCACTCCCTGAATGACTCGCTGACAAAACAAACATATGCTCGTGCTGGGAAACACAGATTGTTTGTCTTAACTTTCTGTGTTTTTATTAACAGAACCAAATCAATCTCAATTAGTTTCAAACAATAATGTGAATTTAACTGCGTCAGTGCTCGGTTCAGCGTCTGTGGTCGGCCCCTATTTCTACGGCTGGGAATTTTTATCAAAACAGAAAAAAGTTAGATAAACACCATTTTCTATTTTCACTTGTCCCAAATAATCACCTTTCAAACAACTATACGCATATAAAAGCCATCGAAAAAAAATGAACTCAGATAACTGTGGCTCTGTATATTTTCGACTTCACGTGTAGTTAGCAAATTTGCATTTTGTGATGAATGCTGACAACACTCGGATTGAATACCTGTCGCAAATACTGTGTTACGGTTTTACGTAAAGAATGTTTTTACCCACAGATTAGGTCAAGATAAAACAATAAGATTTTGTTGACGAAAATGATATTACCATTTTAAATTGCCAGTGTGGCGCACTCGCAGGCGTATGATGATGGACAAAACGTCGTTACGTGGTCTTATGTTAGTTTGCCAGAAGCGCGTCGATATAGACACGATTGTAATTTGGGTTTTTTTCCGATTCAATCTGTTGTGAGGTTGGCTTAACAATAATTAATTCATTTAATGTGTAGTGCGTGACGCTTGCGAAATAAGTTTAAATGGAACAAATAGGTCAAAAACACCTTTATAGATTAGGTCATTTGGTAGATATAGGTGTTGGCATGGAAACGTTGTCTCTAATGGCAGAGAAAACAATGGCAACACAATAACTGAGCGGAAGAAGAAAATGCAAAATAAGTTCAAGAAAAATACACCTGCTGTATGTGCGCTTTACCAAGAAATTGAAATATAACGAACTGATCATCTTGTTTGCCAAGCTCAAAACGATAGTCATAATTTTGTCGCGCTTGTGCTAAAATGGCGGCGCTTAGCTCAGCTATCAGAGAGAAGAGGTTTACTCAAGTGAAGTTGCTTCTTGATATCGGGGTTGATATTAACAGGAAGGATTCCGACATGAGGACGGCGCTAATGCAACTTTGCTTTCTAGAGGACGAAGCTAAAGCGGCGAAGTACGCCAAAATACTCCTTCAGCGTGGAGCGAAGGTTGGTTTAAAAGACAAAAATGGACTGACTGCTCTTTCGCACGCTTGTAAGCGAGGACAGGAACAATTAGTTTCGATTATGTTGGAGGAAGCGAGCGATTTTGATCTCAATTCACAAGATAAGCAAGGAAATACAGCACTGCATTACGCCGCAATGTCCGGTAACTTCGTGGTCTTAAATCTTCTCCTCAGCAAGTTAAAACGATTTAAATTGAGTGTAGACACGCTGAACGAAAAGGGAGAAACTCCTTTGATCGTGGCGTCGAAGTCGGGAAATTTCTTTTGCGCGCGAATTCTCATATCAGAAGGAAAAGCTTCAAAAGGAGCTCGGGACTATGTTGAATTCAAGACAGCTGACGAGTGGGGAAGGACTAAAGAAAGTATCCGATCGGCATCGAAGTCGCCGCTTTTCCGAGTCATGCAGCTTCCCCCTCGTTCATGGATAGATTCTACAAGCCGAGGATCACTAAATAATCATTCACCATCAAAAAAGAGCAATGATAGGCCGAACACCGCTCCGGGGAACCTTTTAAGTCAAGACAACGAGAAAAGTCACCGGGAAAATCTTAGAGATCTTTTTCGCGTCTACGAAGGACACGTCTCGGGCGCGTTTCGCCGCGGCGTCAAACCCAGACCAATTGTGATCACGGAATCAATTTCCAGTCTCACCGAGAGTATGTCTCAAGACAATGAACTTGATGATGTGTGTGAGCTTCCTTCGTTGGCGGTGTCGCCAATATCTGGGCAGATTTCCCGCCGCTTTAGCATCAGCAGGGCGAGTAAGTTGGCTGTCGCTACCAACACAGTTTTTAGACGCGCCTCCGTAGCAACCGTATCGATGGCCACCGCAAGCAAACCGTTACAAAGACGAGGATCTCAATCGCTTGGCGCGGCTACTGGCCGAAGACTTTCCCAATCAATGCCAGCGTCACCGAGAATCCGAAGGGGCTCAATGAACGTCATGACGAAGATTACAAAAGTTGCCGGGCTAACTGTAAATAAGGACAAGCCGGACAAGAAAAACAATGTAGTTCACGACGACCCACCTACGATCTCCGTTACTACGGATAAACTATTAGCTAAGCTTCAAACTTTGGCCGAAGAAAGTGATTTGGAAGAAGACGAGAACACAGAGGAAATGTTGCAAAGAAGCTCACCAGCAAATCTTTTTGGACAAATGTAACTACAATGGAAGTGAATATAGGAAATAAAATAATTATTGGGTTCCTTGAGACGGACTGAAAATTCAATCGGTTAGAATCATTTTCGGCAAACTGAAATGAAAAACTTCTGCTTCCCAAAAAATTATTGCAAATGTAAGGACGGAAATCGTCATTGATATAATTAAATGTTAAAATCATTGTTTGCGACTACGGCAACCGTCATTTAATCTATTTGATTTTGATTTTAATTTAGCAAATGTTTTTTGGCTGGAATAGTTGTATTAGACACAATTAGCATTGTTCTCGTATTATTCTCGAGTTCGTTTATTAAGTTTCTAGAGACAGAAAATTCATCTTGAAAAGCAGTAGCGCAAATGAATATTTCTCGTTTCCAGTATAACATTGAATCAGTTGATTTTTTTGAGTTTACGTATTTGAAATAGTAAATCAGACAAAACAGGAAAACTAATCGGCTTTCGGTCAATCAAAACCAGTCCTCTTTTGACTTGACATGTATGACTGACAGCTGATTCGGTCGTCAATTTATCTCCAATCTCGTTCCCAGTTTCCACCTAAAATTAATAATTATATTGCAAAATCGCCCAGGGTATATAAACAATAGCCCCCATTTGGCGAGAAAATACGCTGGGATATTTGTCCGCGGACATTATCTGTTCCGAGAGGCGAACTTTGAGGAACAGCAATATGTCCAAGGACAAATAAACGAGCATATTTTCGCGCCAGATGGGGGCTATTGCGTTTATTATCCTTCAAATGGTCTGGATAATAGCAGGCAAGTAACAATTTTTAAGAAATGAACAACAACTTTAAGTTTAAAACAAGACATGCTTCGATCGTTCAACGATCATCTTCAGTTGCGAATTCGTTTACAAGTTCGGTTGAATTAATACAAGCAATGGCGTATGAGTTAAAACGTGATACAATTCAAAATTTCGAAAAAATTGACGCACAATTTTAAGAAGCGCGAGACATGGAATAACACTTGCGCGAGCACTACACTTAATACAAGGAAGAAAATTGTCCTTCAAATATTTTCGCGACACGCGCAGTTTTGAAAATTGGGGAATATCACTCGGATATTCCCCAATTTTAGCTGGGGCACATTCAGTCACGTGATGCGTTTAGACCAATCACATATCTGCGACCCTAGAAGGTATTGTTTTTCAGCCGTTCTGGTCACAAATAGGGTATCAATTTTGGGGGTTGGGGGGCATGTTTTCCAGAAGAAGCTACTTTTTCATCATTATCGATAAGACCATCAACAAAAGCCCTTCACAAATTGTGTCGGTCTAGGGCAACTGTGCCAGCAGCAACGGTCATAAATAGGGTATCGAAGCTTTTGGTCAGGTCATAAATAGGGTACCGGAAATCATGGATTTTGGTCATAAATAGATAAGGGATTTGGGAAGCGGGCCGCACACCCCTACCTTAATTTTCTGGGAGTACCCCTCCGGGGGCTCTCGTATGGTAGATTTGAAAGAAACGGATGTAACATGTGCTGCTGCCAAGAAAGCAGCTCAAAACAGGATTAGATGGAAAGCCATAGCGTCGGACTTATGTTCCCCAAGGAACTAACTGAAGAGTAAAGAAGAATATGAAAGATATGGGCATCGTGACAATTTGTTGAACAATAACAGAATATGTCATGTTTTTAGAGTAATCCCCAACCCATCTATTTTTGTCGTTTTCATGGTAACGATAGAAATCTGGCATGGACTCGGCAGTATGTATCTGGCCTTTATTAAAGCTCTTTACTATAGAAGTTTGGTAATCATTTATATGAAGACGTACAAGTTGTTTGTTTGAGCAATTCTACCTCTTTATTAGGGCGTTTTGGGAGGAGGAAACGTTTGATCTGAGGTTTTCGAAAAACAGAGTAGTCTGTTTGTTTATAGAAATGCTCTGCACACTTTCTAGCCTGCGAACGCAGACGTATTTCCGGCTGTCGCTTGTCTCCGCCGAAAAATAACGTCTGCAGACCCGAGCCAGGAAACGATTTCTGTGACGTAATGACTTTTGTTTCTCCTTGGCCAATCAGATTCCATGGTAGAATGAAACTCGAGTGCTCTTCTCAGCGAATACCTCGCGCAGTAGTTCTGGGGCTACTTGAGCTAAACTGTGATTGGCTTAAAATTCCTACGTCACAGAAATCGTTTCCTGGCTCGGGTTCGCAGACGTTATTTTTCGGCGGAGACAAGCGACAGCCGGAAATACGTCTGCGTTCGCAGGCTACACACTTTCTGGCCCAAAAATATGGCCTTACTTGTTAACTTGCTCGTATTTATCTGACATTTACCCTTATTATCCTAATTTTATTTTGTAGTACGTACTGCATTGCTTGATAATCAATTTTACGTTTAAATTTTAGGTGATTTACCGTTTTATCACTTTCTGCATTTATAATATAGTATGGAATCCTTTTTTTGGAAATATCTGCAATGGAATGTTGGGCAATGCGATCCACAAGCAGATGAACAGGATTCTTGTTGCATGGTATAGCTGTTACCAAAGTCGTCTCTCATCACCATTTTGCATGTTGGTGAAACGTAATCACACTTACACTGAAACACAACAATAATGATTATTATACATTGAACTCACTATCTCTTTTCTGATTGGCCGAAAGCATACAGTGAATTTTCGAAATCAGCCCCTGAGACGTCATCTCTGCAGATTATACAATAATCATGTCAAGGACGCTCTAGGTCACGGGTAATCATGTCAAGTTCGCGCGCTTTGTGTTGCTTGCCGTCAGTGAAGAAGCAAAAACATGACTTCCATTTTTTTCCTTCACTATATAATAAAACAATTATTAGATTCGGCTTTTGTGATATCCAGAATAATCAAGGTCTCGGTAAGGGTTATCAGCCTCAGCCTTCGGCTTCGGCTGATANCGGACACGGCACCATTCGCTAGTCGAACTCTGGCACGGATCACAGGCACCGTATCAGGTAATTATGGATATTTTCAAAAGAAAGGTCTGTCAAGGCTATAGTTGAGTAGATTGAGATGCTTCAAGGAATTGTGGTTGGAGTTAATAAAAGTCTTTATTAAGTGTCGCCAGTGTAAGAGGAAAATCTTCACTACTGGCGGAATTTGAGTGACTGGGATAATCTCAGTTGGGAAGTATACCAGTCAGCGCTATTTTCATGGCTTACCGGAGGAGGCTTAGTTCTTCGTCGTCTCCAAGAAAAACATGGGGGCAACTGTAATGACAGGACGAGAAGCAAAACCAGCAACCATTGCCATGTGCGATCCATGGTTAGCGAAGACTTGTTCGGATAATATTGTTTCTGTTCAATAGAGAATTGAAATATCGGCATTGTAAAGTTTGAATACGGCTAAATTATCACCACAAAGCGCAAGAATGAACTAATACAAACCAGTAAGGTGTTTTGACTTTTCTTGGGCGCCTATACTCTGGGTGATGAGTAGAAAATCCAACGTATTAGTCGATGTTATGTTTCTCAAAGATTACTTCTGGTTTTAGTGGCTTAGTGATACTATATTTTAAGAGAACAAAAATACTCGAATCAAGCTTAAAATAAACCAAATCTGAAGTTAACAAATTGGCCGCTTAAACTGATCGACAATCATTACCAGCAAATCCAGGCTGAATTATTACTGTTACATGCAACCAAAACACTACCGGAAGAAATAACAATTATTCTAGTTTTCGAGATAATCCCCCAGCGGATGATAGTAACCCAGGAAACAAAATGTATTTTAAAAGAATGAATCTCAACTTACCTCCAAAAAGCGTGACGTCACTAACGATCAATTCGCCAAAAAGGTTTTCGTTCTTTTTCTATAGAACAGAGTTTCTCTCTAAACCTTTCAACGTGACCTCGAAAAAAAAACTATTTTGGGTGTAAAATCTCCCAGATTTTAACCTTGTGTACGTT